GGAGTGACAAAATGCCAAACAGGTAATGCTCAGGCAGGAACATATTTTTGTGAAAAAAGAAATTAAAATACTTCCGGGTTGGTTGCCGGTGTCACAGAATTTGGTGATATATTCAACGTATGGCCTGAAAGCAAATCACATTGACAAACACTAGGAAATGCAGTCATTCCTTACCATTATAATAATTTTATTACAATAATTTTATAATAATTATAATTTCATTTATAGTAATTTTATAATAATTATAATTCTATTTACGATAATTTTATTATAATAATTTTATAATAATTATAATTCTATTTATAATAATTTCATTCAAACAATTTCGTTATTTTTGCTAATTTCTTAATTCTTAAAATTCTCTTCGATTATCCTTCCTATTTCAGTATACCTTTCTTTTTCTAATTTCTTTTTCTTCTTATCACTTTGATATTTGTTTCACTTGAAACCACTGAGGGGAGCGTTGCACGGTTTTCTGCTAGACGTGTCAAGAAATGAGCACAGTGTCCGTATGATGATGCAAATCTTTACCCATCGTCGCAAAACAACAACGAGCATCATAGAACCAGTACAATTTGGCCTTTTTGTTGTTACTTTCATGCACGCATACAGCAGAGTAGTATGGCAAAGGGTATACTATATGGCCTTTCCAATCAGCCTTTTTGACCCAAGCAATAATAGTAAGACACAGAAGCGTCAACCTACCCGCTCCTCTAGCCCAAATTCATAACTAGCGCCCTGGAATTTCGTAGTCCCGCTAGGGTTCTGGAATTTCGGTATTTCAACTAGCACTCCAAACAGTATTCTTGACTTAGAATTTTCTATGCACCATGTACACTGCGTCGAAGAGAATTTTTTAAAGTATAAACACTACAGAAGAACTACTTTCCATGCTTAATACATGGCGGTGGCGTAAAAAACTTTCACGGGCAATGGGAGAAACACTAAAGCCAAGAACAGCAGATCCGGCTGCGATGCTCTCCGAATGTAGAAGCTCTATCTCAGCAATACATCGAGATGCCACGCCGATTGCCTGCACTGTCTTGGTATTCGCCGTGGAGTAGCAACTGCACCATTATTAAAAAAATCTCAGCACGTTTCTTGAATGTAGGAAAAAGCAACATACTTGCAGCAAGTCGCACTTGTTCAAGAAATTCCTGCTCCTCCTGTAAGTAAAATGTATTTTAAATACAAGGCAGTTGAATCCTGTGAAATTATTTTTCGGCAATTTTAGCCCACCAATCTATAGCTGATAATTCTGTTTCGAAGTCCCACAGATGCAACGGCTGCTGCTGTGTTAAATTTTCTTAATTCAACTCTCCCCCTCCCCCTCCCCTCTCACCCACTTATCCATTCGGAAGCTAAAACTACTCTCATCGACAGCTACCACGACTTCCTGGCCACTTTTAGCGACATCGACAGCGTCTTGCATTTCCGCTTGCCCTCAGCTTCGTGCTTATTCGGTATCGACATCGACCGGGTAGTCCGCTTAACAAAGCTTCAGTCAACTCAACTGTAATTCGTGGCAAGCCTTTGCAAGAAGCCTTACTTTATTCATTCACCAAACTCACTTTGAGAATTGGCACTGATAACAAATGCCTACTCCCCGAGCGGTGGCAAATGCGCTCAGCAATCATTCGCTGGCAAACTAACAATCACTTGTCATGCTTGTCAGCACCACTTTAGCTATCACGGAAAACCCACGAAAAATCGGGAAAGAAAAAGATACCACAATTTTATATACCTTCCAAAGAACAACGGAGAGAAAGGGAAAGCTGTACGTTACCTTAAAAGGCAGATGCCCAAAATTTCAGCTTTGTAAAATTTCAGCTTCCTAGCTTTTCTGACACCCGAATTAGCAATTTCCCCCCAAAAAATTTTCATACGCCATTACGTGAGTACCACGCACACCCGGGGGGCTGAATTTGAAATTTTTAGCTAGTACATACACAGGGAATGTTCCTACAAAGCTTCAGCCCCTTAGCTCACGTGGTTCCCGAGATCGCTTTCCCGCCAAAAACTTTGCATACTTTTTTAAAGCGTCCGTACGCGGCACCCAGACTTCCGAGGGGAATGAAATTAAAACGGGAGGGTCG